GGCTGGGGAGACCGGGGAAAGGGCGGGGAGAGCCGTGGGGGGAGGGGAAGAGGCAGAGAGAGCACCAAGAGGATGTAGGGTTGAGGGGTGGTGAGTGGAAACAGGTGGCCGTAGCGAGGGCGCGGATGAGGGGGAGGTGGGCACCCAGAAGGAGGGGCCGTACTCGAAGGTGCGCGCGTGGTGCAGGACTAGGTTCTTCAGGGTACGAGACCGGGTTTTTCGTGTTGCGGCGTCTAGGTGAGATAGGATCTTGGGAACCAGCCGTCTTGGTAGAGCGGTATTGGGGGGGCGCCGAGCTGGCTACCCTCCCCCCCTGTGGTTTCCGGAGGCTTGATCGCCCTGCGTTGCCGCAGGGTCTTCCCGTTTGAGTACTTTTCAAGTTAGACCCAGTGCTGTGGAAGGGCGCGGACTTGTGCGGTATTTATCCCCCCGACGGGTGCTATCTCCCCTGGACTAGCCCAGGGAGGGAGAGGCGGAGGAGGGTAGTAGTCTCAGGAGGCTGTTTGGCGTCTTGTGGTGTGAGCTCTTTGCGCTCTTTTTGCGTGAGGATTTTTTGAGCTTGGTGACCTCCCCAGCCCGGGATGACTCGTCGGGCTCCCGGTCGCCCAGGTCCTGGTTGCGAGCTTTCTGAGTTGTTCGGTTCGTTCGGTCGGCAGGAAGAGCCCCCCAGTCGCGACTTCGTTTATGTTAGGAGACCAGCGGGCATAGATCCCGTCTAGTTGGAGCGCCAAACGAGCGCTGTTGCGTGCCGGCCGTCGTTTCCCGTGCGGCCTGACCCGGGGGCGGAGTGCATGAGACTGACCAACCGTATGCACCCGCCCCCCGCGCTGTGTTTCGGCCCTGGGCCCCCGGCTTTTCAGCCCACAGTGTAATCAACGTCATACATACATACATACATACATACATACATACATACATACATACATACATACATACATACATACATACATACATACATACATACATACATACATACATACATACATACATACATACATACATACATACATACATACATACATACATACATACATACATACATACATACACACATACATACATACATACATACATACATACATACATACATACATACATAGAAACGGGGCTCAGATGAGGGGGAGTTGTGGCCCGAGGAGGGCCATTCTACTTAGGCACGTCTTCTCTGCAGGACTGGGTTGCTTGGTGAGGGACGAGGGTGAGAGCCAGTGTTTATTTTTTTGGTAATATATTACTTTTTTGGGAATAAATGGGGGTCTGAGCCTGGAAGAAATGGAATAATTGGTCAGTTGGCCGTACTGGTTCATTACTTCGGCCATAAGTCGCCCCAAATGCCTTCTGCACAGATAAAGCTGAACATCTGGAGCTTATACACTATTTATATATAAAATATTTGATGATATCACCATGAGACGGCCCGCTGTTGCATTCAACTTAGGTCAACGGGGCATTCGTTCATTCTTGACCAAAGCAAAGGGCTCAGAAAGTCCGCAGACGCAATGCCCCAGACATTTAGAAGAAGAATTAGATAATACAGAAGACAAGGATAGGCACTTCGTAGTTGCCGCTCTTGAAGTCAGTGAATCCAGCGATTTGAGCGAAGTCGGCGGCTGGTGCAATGCAGTGGTGTTGATGGTGCCGACAGTGTACATATATATAACTTTGCCTTCGCGTGCTCACGACGTTTATGGACAGTCAAAGTGGCTCCGCGCCCTGCTCACAGAGACACTGGCGCCAATGCAGTTAGGTGCACAGAACGATGGTGGTACGGCATGTGTGTTTCCAGACGTCAGGTGTTGTTTACAGCACACCGTACAGCCTTTGAGGGGGGGTCTGGGGGGGGCGCAGCCCCCCCCAGCGACTATACAAAAAGGAATTGTAACCGCAAGAAACACCCAGTTTATTACTCTAGGGTATTAGGCCCCAAACGAAAAAAAAAACACTGGTGAGAGCGGTACAGTACGAGGCAGGGTGAGTAGGTTCTGGAGGACCAACCATTCCGGTTTAGTGACGGTAAGGGGGAGGCGCCGCGCGGGCTACATTCCTCCCCCTGCGGTATTCTGGAGGGTCTAGGAGCTGTGTGTCGTGGCAACGCTATCGCCTTTGTGGTTTCGCCGGTCTATCCCGGGCCCCTGCAGTGGTGATCAGGCTTGTGTGTGGTCCCTTTTCTTTATGTGGCTACTTCTCCCCTGGACCAGCCCAGGAAGGGACAGGTAGTGGAGGTCTGTTGTTGTAAGGTGGTTGCAAGACGTCTTGTGGTGTCGAGCTCTCTTAGCCTTTCTCTCTTAGAGTTTTTTTTGTTGGCTTGTTAGGTATATCAGGAGCCTTCCCCTGCCGGGACTGCCCTAACCGAATTTTTGTTTGTTTGTTTTTTCCCTCGGAATCCCGTTTTCGTTGGTGGTGTTTTGGGGGGTTGTTTCAGAGAGCCTTTGACTTTGCCTTAGCTGAGACTTGTGGACTCACTCTAGCGGGACCTGAGAGCCCTTCGTGGTGTTTTCACTGCAGCGCCATCCCCGGATGGAGGGGCTGCGGAGTGGCTGTGTAAAGTGTTGGCAGTCTGAGTCGGGGTCGGGAGCACACAAGACTAACCGACTTGCACTGTGTGCTTCCCACCCTTGTGCTGTGTTTCAGCTTCGGCCCCCGGCTCTCGCGGCCCAGAGTGTAATATAAGTCATAAATACATACAGGTGGCTGGCAGAGGTTAAGGCCTAACTTCTGCTCCCGGAGTGTCCGGGTTAACATCCACCTGACGTGACAGATGTTCGAGACGTGTTTGAAATGGGAGGTGGCCCCCCTCTTGTGGACAGTGTAGGACGTGATAATATCAACTTCCGAGCTGACCAGGAACTAAGTTGAGGCGCCGTTGATCCGCTAGATTTGGTTGGATGCTGGTGGTGAGTTGCTGAACCCAACGAATACATTCTGAAATCGGATGGGGTAAATGGATTAGGGTGCCCCTCTCGCAGGGAGAGCAGGGACTGCCTCGGGAAAGGGGGCTGTTGGTGAAGCTTATCCACCCTGTAACAACATCATACATACACACACGGCCCTACCCTTCATTGCCACTATATCCATGAACCTGACGGGTTAAGACTCCAGCTGCTGCCGATAACTGGACTGGACCTCAAGTGCCGGTCTCACGGGGGTGGGGGGTGGGAGGTTGTGATGGTGATGACAATGATGGTGATGAATGGTGATGGTAATGATGCTGGTGCTGATGGTGATGATGCTGGTGCTGGTGATGCTGGTGCTGATGGTGATGATGATGCTGGTGATGATGATGGTCGACGGAATAAGTGCAGAGGCAATCAGTGCAGAGGCAATTAGTCTTTGTGTTACAAATCGACGAGGCTCAGCAGTTCAGCGCTGCAAAACAGCAGCATCCTGGCACATAAGTTGCACTAATGATGAGGTCTGCGCAGATGAAACGGATTTGCCAGAGGCTGTAACCAAGGGGGTAGGCGATAATGAAACAGCAACAGGCTCACAACTGGGGATGGCGCAGTCTTGCACACAGGATGTACTACCGCCAACAGATGTGCCCAACTGTTCACAAAACTTAGCCCTGACCTAGTTGTCCTTGCGATAATAAAAGAACTTGCCAGCATTTCTGCAGGCAAGCGGAACAGCACATGCTTGTCCCACATAAGCTTGTTATGAAGAGGAGTAGAAAGGCTAAGCATACAAGCTAAGCTTCCTCTCTTGATTCAGAGCCAGGGTGATACACTTGTCTCGATGAAGGATAGCATGAGGATCGGAAATGCTTGGCCGAACCACATGCACCATTGTTGTCACACGGCTCCCTAAGAGACTTGACCGTGGAAAAGCTCCCAGAAGCCTTACTAAGTTTGGCACCGAAGTAGAAGCTTGGCTGCAGACATGATAGTGAGCAAAGGCAAAAGTTAGGACCATTGTACGAGAGCATTGGTTGTAACAGCACTGCCCAAACAGGGGATTGAGAGCAAGCAACTGGTATGCAACTGTAGTAATTACTCAGCTTCACGAAACATATTTTCATTAATGCACCTCTGGTGGTTCTCAGACACAGAAGAACAATGTCACTTCTCTTCTTGCCTGATCATGACAAGTTGTTTTACTCTAAAAGAAAAGCTTCCCTTACTCTAAAAGAAAAGCTTCCCTTAAGGCCTCAATAGTTTTATTGTCTGTGAAATCGTTCAGGTCGACAGTCTGCAAAACACATTTTGACAACTTAGCATTTTGACCTCCGCTAGCTCCTCCACCTCCCCAACCCCCTGCTGCTATGGCCTGCTGCACAGCAATGCACTCACTGGCAAAGCGGCGGTAGTACTGGTCGGCGCCGGTTAGGAACATGGTGGCTGCCAAGAGGGTGCCAGCAAAGGCCTTGAGGGCAGGGGGCACATTGGCGAGCCTGTGACGGTGTACAGTGCTCTGGGGATCTGCAGTGAGGAGGATGGCTGCATCACGGGCAGCCTGCAACGAGAGGTGCTGGAGGTGCTGGAGGGTGGTTGGTTTGGCTATGGTGGCAATGCTGACCGCCTGGTTGGTCCGATGCTGTGTCTGCATGTCACTGAGGTGCCAAACCAGCGTTGGGTTCTCAGCAAACTGGTGCATTGGGTAGCGCAGCAGCAGGTTGGCAGCCCAGGTATCCTCTGTCATGTGTGCTGGGTGGCTGCCGGCCAGCCTGTTGGGGAAGGCGGACAGGTGCACCCATTTGGGCGCGTAATCACTTATGGGGGCCACACCCAATCCCCCCACATTGCTGATGACGAGGCTGCTGCTGTGGAGCAGCGACTGAATGTGCTGCGGGCCACCACTGCTGCCACCACCGTGCTGGCTGCCACAGCTGCTGCCATGCTGGCCACCACTGCTGCTGCCATGCTGGCCACCACTGCTGCTGCCGAGCTGGCTGCTGCTGCTGCCGCCATGCTGGCCACTGCTGCTGCTGCCACCATGCTGGCTGCTGCTGCTGCTGCCACCATGCTGGCCGCTGCTACTGCTGCCACCATGCTGGCTGCTGCTGCTGCTGCCGCCATCCTGGCCGCTGCTGCTGCTGCCGCCACACTGGGTGCCGCTGCTGCCACCGTGCTGGGTGCCGCTGCTGCTGCCGTGCTGGGTGCCACTGCTGCTGCTGCCACAACTGCGCCTGGGCTTCATCCTTTCATATGTCTTGGTCAGCGCTGCACTGATGCGACCACTGCTGTGGAATGCAGCCAACTCTGAGGGGTAGGCCCGCAGGAACTCCTTCTGCTCCAGGATAGGGGCGCGGCTGAGGATGTTGCACAGCAGCACGTGGAAACAGCGAAGCCCAACCTTGATGTCAGGCTGAGCCCTATAGTCCCGCTCAAATTTGGCCTTGATGCCACGGCTGTTGCAGCGGTGGTCCCAGACCTGCAGGTAGATGGAGCCGTGATCAACACAGTTGCATGGGAAGCAGGGGTGTTCAGGCCAGCAGCATTGCAGCCCAGCTCTGTTGGCTGGCTGCAGTCCACATGATGACTGCAGCTGTTCGGACAAGCATCATGCCTGGAATTTGACAGGTGCTACTGTTGACCTGTGAGTGCTGCGGTAGTCCTGTGACTACTGCACGTACCCTCCTAACACCTCACAAGCCTGCTTGCTCATTTTCTGATTGGCCACCCTGCTTGCAACCCTGCTTTTCCCCTAGCCAGCGGCACACACTGCCAACAGTTTCCTGGCTGCCTTGTTACCATTCCTCCTGTGTTTTGCAGGTGACTGTGTCACTGTCTGCTACTGTAGCCTCCTAACCTCCTCCTTTCCTTCTGCTGTGGGTCTCCTGGCCAGACACGCCAATCTCGCAGTACGGCAACTCGAGCTCGCCCACCCACCCCACCCACCCTTCACTGGCATTCTTACCTGCATGAACCAGTCCGCCTTCAGCAGCCCGTCCGGTGTAAGCGCCAGCGCAGATGCCATGGCTTCCAGGAGGCTGTGCAGGTCCTTGAAGCTGTCGAAGTCCTCCTTCATGCAGAGCTCGCCGAGCACAACCAGCTCTCTGTGCATCGGGGAGTCGAGCCACGGGATGGCCATGTTTGAGTCCAACAGCTGACTGTGCGGGGCTGTCGGTGGCGGGACAGTAGTTGCCACAGCTGCACATCAAGGAAAAACGAGGGTGCATTACACAGGTAGGTCATCTGTCACGAAATAGCAGGGGTGTGCTAATTCTAAAGGAACACACAGCTTACTAACGGTTCGGAAGACCATGACCATGCATGGTATGCAGTGTACCAAAGAAGCGCGTGGCATTCTCGTCCAGAACCACTGCGGTAGAAGCCGTGGACTTGGCCGTTCAGCATGCAAAAAGTCAGAAAGGCATGCAGCTACCAAAGCCACCAGACGGCTTAGACTCAAGAAAAAACAAGGTCTCCATATACAGCTTAATAGTAACTCAACAGTAGGGATTAGACTCAAGTGCCCAGTAAAGGAACAAACATCTTGCTAACAGTGAGGGTGTTCAGATGACCATACAAATCGGTTAGGGGCCTTGAAGGTCTATCATGCAGGGATAGAGACATCGTGGATGGACTACAATAATGCTCTTCGGCAAGCCGCTGTGGATCAATATGTCTGGCAACTCCTGTTAAGGATGTCCTCACAAGAATGACAAGTGAACGCCAGCGCCTCCCTGGCCTATCAGGGCGGCCTCCGCACTTTTGCAGAACGTGTAACTTATAACTTTAATGCAGCAATTTGACTCCTGGGTCTGCGCAAACCTCGCGCCAAATATGCGCTGACACTACTCACTGTGGCGGTGCATGAGCTTATAGAGCACCTTCTTCGCTTCGTGTAACTGCTTCTCCTCATCGCGCAGCTGCTCTTCCTCATCGCGCAAGTCCGCTAAGCTGTCCCTGTCTGTGCACGTCGCTATCTGTCCAGCAACGGCCTCAAGGGCACCCTCAACCGTGTCGATTTCCTCCCTTAACACGTCCATCACCCTCCCTAGATCACGGACAATATTGTCATAGTCCATGGCACACTCACGCGATACAATACTCTGCAGGACTAAAATTATACGAAAAGCAAGAGTTGAAATCGTCTTCAGACTTGAGGAGCAGCGAAGGCAACCTTTTCAATAGGAAATCATGGCTTTATCTTTAACATATAGCTAAAATCCAAACATAGGCCCCATAGGTCCGCGGGTGTTCCGTACTCCGACAGTTCCGGTGAGACTAGATGTGTCGAATTGGCTGCGACAGATAGATTCCGCCAAGAAACCCGATATTGGCAGACAGTCATACTGAGTCTGAGACCTGGGATTGGCCGACAGGCTGACGAACGTGCTTTGCAATCTTTGTGGGTCTTGAACCCTGCTAGTCTTAAAGCCCTTCCGCGTGTTACTCATGATCATTTCTCAGACTGACACGTTTGTGCCTGGCGCAAGTGGTGGTGAGCACCCGCATCGACTCATGTTTTACCGGCCCTTCATTCCAGCTGTGTCTTACAATCCCTGCGACTAGTGATCACCACCAGCTCGGTGACACAAGAAGTCAGTCTCAGGGCTAGCCTGTGACTTTAAACGCTTATCTGCATGTCCGAGCGCACGAAGCCACTGCTGCCAGAGCTTCGAGAGGAAGAAATGTATGTAGTGAAGCCATAGCCACCGAATGTACTACACTGTGTCGTTGGTATAGCCTGCGAAGGTACCTTGCTGGAGACGCTTATAAAGGCCTTTGTTCAGGTCACTAACGTAAAGACCAGTGTCGCGTTGTTTCAGCCAGAACACTTTATCGAACGGGGCATTGTCGGCCTTTTCAGTAAATGTTGCTGGGTTCTCACCTCGTGCGACAGATGTTGCTCCTTTGTCAGCTTTGTCATTACCATCAAGGCCTGTGTGCGATTTCACTTTCAGGAAGTGAACGGTTGTGTTCTGTTGGGCGCATTCGTACGGTCGGCGATGTCCATTAATAAGGCTTTGTGCTTGGAAATATGCAGTTTACTCGGATCGTTTACTGCTCTTTTGATAAGATCCAGTGAGGCTTGCGAGTCAGTGGCAATTGTTAAGGTGATGTTCACTGCCCTTTGGGTTGATAGAGCTACGCGTATTGCTGCCAGCTCTGCCCGTTGGATGGTATTCGTACATCCTTCGCCCGCTGGGTCGATGTGCAGCGTTTTTCCGGTGGGTCCACAGTATGCAGCCGCACCCAACTTGTTCTGGCCGTCGTTTTCAGCCGATTTAATACAGCTACCGTCGGTCCATATGATAGTGTGCGGGTCCATCCTGAGTGGTACTTGTCCGGGAAAAGCTGCTGTCAGGCGCTGTTGGAGCATCTGTCCGTCCGAGCGGGGGGCTGTGGCGGTTGGTCTTGGTCTGGGCGGCTTTGAGGCATTCATCTTGCGCATGACCTGAGCGACTTTGTTTGGGTAGGGTCGTTGGGTGCCGACGCAGTGAGTACCCGCGGACATGTCCCGCAGTCGCAGATGTTTTCTGGAGAGGCCGGTGGCGTCCATCGCTTCGAGTTCGGATAGGAGCGCCTTCATGGATCGGGCGTTTAGTCCTCGGATCGCCGTGTCGTTGGCCACCACGACGAGGTCCAGGCCCCCCTTGTAGTCAGGGCTGGGGCCGTCAGTTCCAGT